AAGAGACAACGTGGAGCGCGGGAGAGAGACACGCATTTGATTGGTCTCACACGCCACACCCCCGATTTCTCACGCTGAAGTGTCAACCCGGTCGGTCAAATGCCTGAAAGATGAGTTTATCTATAGATCTACCTGTTGAGCCACTCGTGATCGACTAGTTATACCGCAAAATAGTTTAAATCTCCTGGAATCTAGAGCGAGCGTGCATGCGAGACAGAGGCCGCGTAGCGCACGCGCACCCTCAAAGAGGGAGAGCGTCAGAGCGAGCGAGAGAGAGAGAGACCTTGCGTGTGTAGAGAGCATCCTGATCTAGAAACAGGACCCCCGTTGGAGAATGTCAAAATTCCACCTCAAATCTGAGCAAGCACCTAGCAAGAAGAAGGAAGAAGGACGACTTTCTTTATTTCATTAAAATATGGTGGAATGTGCAGAAAATAGGTTTAAATGTTCATCAAAAGTCTGAGACAGTTGCATTTAATTTATTTTTTGCTTGATGCAATGCGCATAAAGTTAAAATATTGAAACTAATAAAACAAGTTTAAAAAAAGAGAGTGTTTCATTTGATACAATTTTAGATGATGGAATATGCAGAAAGAATAGAAGTAGGCTGAAAGGTCTATTTGCTTTATAGCGTATTCAGGTCGTGCATCATGTTTTTGAAAAGTAACTTAGTAGGTAACTAGTAAAGTAACTAATTACTTTTGAAAATAAGTAATCAGTAAAGTAACTGGATTACTTTCTTGGAGAAGTAATCAGTAATCAGTAACTAATTACTATTTCCAAGTAACTTGACCAACACTGGATGTAACCCTCTAGACGTGAAGCTAAGACCTTAGCTTGACTTCACAGTTCAGAAGACATAGAGGCCTATAGGAGGAGCAGTCGTAAGATGGCTTGTCCTTCTTAAGTAATAGAGATATTATTGCAATATTTGAACTAGCAGAAAAGGAACCTCTATCAATAGAGAAATTAAACATATTCATCAATAGAGGACCAAGCTGAGGCCAATAGGCCTCAAACAGTTCTGGTGGTATTCCGTCCAGGCCCGGAGACCTGCCTCTATTCATTGCTTTAATAGCTAATCTCAGTTCTTCCAACTGAATTGGTGCCTCTAAGGAACATACAGCTTCAGGAGGCAATTTAGGTAGATGTAATGATTTGAGGAATTCAGAACAGGCTTTGTCATCATGATGCACCTCTGACGTATAGAGACTTTGGTAGAATAGTTGAAAAGTACTATTAATGCGTACCGGGTCAGATGTTATATCCCCCTCTTGAGTCCTTATTGCTGATATCTTTGCTAGATCATCATTTTTCCTTCACCCTTTAACCGCATCCCATAGCACTCGTGGATCTTCAACTGATGGGCTATTTATTTTGATAAATTCCTCCAACTCAGCCTCCAGCTCGCGTATAAATATATCATTCTGGAGCAGAGACGTGTTAAAACACCAACGAACTGCCCTAATTGACCAGCTTTTAATGAAAAACTACATAAAACAGACCTATGATCGGATAAAGCTATTGGGGTCATTTCAGTGCTGCAAATGTCATTGAAAAGAGTTTTGGATGAAAAGATGTAGTCTATTCTAGAAAAAGATTTATGACGAGATGAAAAAAAAGAAAATTCTCTGGAAGAAGGATTCATCATTCGCCATGTATCAATCACTCCATAATCGGTAAACAATTTCTTCAATGCAATAGATGCTAGTCGCTGATCTCTACTTTCTGTTACCCCTGTTCTATCAATATCATGAAGCCGGCATTAAAGTCACCCCCTATTAAAAGCTGGAACATTGAAAATGGGTATTTTCAATTATTTAGCTATTTTCTTACAGCCACTTTCTATTTTGTGATGCTCAACAATCTTTTGATGCATATCAGAACTATATTCTTTGGTTTTACTCATTGTGATGGATGATTAAGGGAATTTGTGTTTCCTCATATTTAAACTCCTGTGAAACAAGAAGTCATAGCTAGACAATTGCATGTTCCTAGTCACCCTGGTGTGCTAAAAAAGGTAAATATTAATGGGAATATACTTCAGAGATATACTTACTCGAAAAAAAATCTAGGGGTGCCAATAATTGTGGCCAACGTGTTTTGGAGAAAAACATTTATTTCATAATGTGATTTCTCCCGCACTTTCAATTCTTTTACTTCAATGAAAGGTTAGATTTTTGCTTTTTTTTTTTATGAATGATCAAAAGGATAAACAAAGCAGATTTATTTTTTACAGCCATTTTTGATCATATTTACCAGGGGTGCCATTAATTCCAGGGCTCTCATGTGTCACGCATTGAGCGTGACAGTCACTCATTTCGGTCTTTTGTCACGCACTCCCGCCACACATTGTATTTCTCTCACGGAAAAACTATTTATAATATATTATTTAATATGCCGCAGCGCCCAAAATGTCTCTGGCCGCGCCGCTCACACTATGGAACCGGCAGGAATCAAGCGCGTCTCCCCTGGAAAAAGTCGAGCCTGCCCAATCAAAAAAAAGAAAGGGGCTACACAATAGCCAATCAGAAAATAGCACTATTGTATCTGGGTAAGATTTAACGCAACAACCAATGAAAAAAAAGCATATCCTGGATTTGTTCACGTGATTCTGCTACAACATCTTCCGAAAGTTTCGTTCACCCACAGAGGAAACCACTGGAGCTCCGAGCATCACTTTGAGCACGGACGGAGTAAGTCATGATCTCCTGTTTTAATGGCACAATTTCACAACTTGTTTGACACAAACAATGACAACTTGACTGCTGTAAGAGAATGTTTCCCAGATAATTAGCATCAGTTTTTCATCATTGAGTGTCTGTAACTTCGCCAACAGTTTTACAGCCTGTTCACTGACAACACCTGCTCAGAACAAGTAGTCTAGGCCTAGTCATATTTTCCTTATCACACGATGACTGACATATTGTCACATTATAAACATCTCTCTCACCAAATAGGCTTAATAATTTTATTAGCACTAAATAAATTAAAATGTATTGCATAGTCTATGTTATAGGTCACTTTTAAAATCATGTCATATTTTATAATTATATCCTGGCCATGGATGCATTAATCATTGCATCTGTCTTTCAAAGATGTCAGGTAAAAAGCAATTAAGCATCCTCTCATTCGCCCTGAGAGGAAAACCTCCTAAATAGGCCCTTAAAGGATGCTGGCCCAGAGAAGGTGGCGAAAAGTGTAGGCCCATTAGAGGAGGAGACGGTGCACGACAGGTGGAAGAGACGGTGGAAAAATCTTTTCTTCTGCAAGTCTGAGCAATTATTAATAATAACAACAACAAAAACAATAATAATATTATCAATTAAACACCCCCCACCCCCATATAATATATATATATATATATATATATATTACTTCAACTCATTCTGTAGTCTCATTTGATATCTTGCTTTTTCTAGACTCAACATATTCTTCAGCCTGTTAATCTCAGTATGCTAGCAGGATTCAGTGAATGATCAATGCACTGCGGTTGTGCCCTACATGACACAGCCAATCCATCATGCAACAACAGACCCCAGTTGAAGCTGTGGTCACGCTTGTCTGGTAGATAGTACATAATTCACAGTTGATTTGCTTTCTTCAGGCGGTCAGTGTTCAGTGATGTGAGGGCAGGGTGTGCGCAGTGTCACGCATTGATCCGACACACTGACATTATACCAACAATCAGAGGCAGCTAATAAAAAGGTTCCTTAAAAAGAGCATTTAATCTGGCTGCTTATTTTCGAATACGTCATATGCACATTATAAAGACCAACAGATGAAGAGTTACCATTATAATTACCACACAAATAGGAAGGTTGTCAAAAATATAAGGTAAAAATGATCAGAATAAAGACACGACTTTGCAACAGTCTCGTCTTTATTCTGATTACTGAGGAAATCATCTGTTAAGGGTTTCAAGACTAGAACCCAATACTAGAACAGTTCACTTGGTGTCTGCATACATACCAGTCTAATGAATTCCTCAGGAACAACTCTATATCTCTGTTGAATTGATATTCTGATCACTAGCATATACTCTAACAATGGCCAGAATTCAAAAATTCAAATCAAAAGTAACACATCACAGCTACAAAACAGCACAAGACTGTCCGACTGGCTTCACAACCCCGCCCAACACCAATCAAAGCTTACATATGCTCATTACAACGCAAGGTAGGACTACATCCGCACGGAAAAAGATGCTTTTAACAAGACATTCTTGGTGAATAGGAACAGACTAGCAGGTCTCTTCATTAGTTTTTCAAATGGAAATTTTATCTACATGCATTACCATTCTCAATGCTCTCTGACAAGCTGAAATATTTTTTTAATCATTATGGAACTCGATAATACAATTTATATTCATGCCCAAAACTAAATGTCAAAATATTTGTATAAGTCTAATACGAATATTTGACATCATTTGACGTTTCAAGTAGTGTTGTGAACAGTACCACAACAAAATATGCACCCCATGGGCTTAATTGCTAACATTTCCAATTTGACACATTTATTGAACCTTGCAATACCACTGTAATATATTCCTTCACTTAGCAGTATCATAAAGCAGCATTAAATGTGTCTATTAGGTATTAAAATGCCATGTCTGCCAGCATATATTACAGGTGATGAAATTAAGATTGGACATGTTGTATTTGGAACAATCCATAATGAATTGAACTCCCTTTTGAAATAATTATTAACATTAGATTTTCAATAAATTGTGTACTTGCTTTGTTAATTTTTTTTCACCAATTAACTTGTAAATCACATAGTAGTATAGGATTGTTATCACCAAACAACCTCCTGAATGACTGGTGGTGGCTTAAATTATTTAAAGCTAATGTATAAGAAACATAGCTTTAAAAAAATTACTTTTTTTTATCATGTGGATTACTGACTAAAGAAAACAATAGTTCTTAATCCATGTTGTAAAAAAAAAAAAAGTGGCTTTGCCATTTCCATACAATATACTATTATCAAAATAATCAGTATCTAAAAATTGGTTTATTTTTTTACATGAAATGTAATGAAGTAGTTCAAGAATATAGACTAGAATAAATGTGTTGTATATTGTCAGTGCGTGTGTTTTTTTCTGCGTTTAGCTCGGGTCTCTCTCTCAGCTTGTGGTTGTGAAGTGGACTGGTTTTGAGCGCTGATGGATTGCAGGGCTTGAACTCGCTTTAGGCGTTTACTGAGCTCACTTTCACATGCCTGGACCAGCGCTGATGCCCTTTCACTGTCCCAGCACAACACCTCCATCATGACCTCCACTCCCTGCCTCACCACCATCTGCATAAACAAATACATCCATATATGAGATACATCCATAATACTAAATTAGTCATCTTAATTTACCAAACACACAAAAACATAATTATTTTTATTAATATGAATGAATTAATATAAGTAATAGGTATTTCTCTTTTTTAAAAACACTTATTTTTTTATTAAACTGTTTGCAGATATACTCATGTCTTGCGTTCATTCATACCACTGAAAAGAGTGAGTGCCCCCTACTGATATACTGTATGACTGAAAGTACAATTTTTTTTCAACATGACATCAAACTTGACCCTAAGGTATGTAATGCCTACTTTTCACAATTCAATCAATTCGCAATGGATAAAAATCAAGTCATGCCTTCAATTTCATTTCAGTTGAATATCCTGTTACAGTCTAAAATATGTCAGATTACAGAAGCAGAATGGGTTGTGAACGGTGTTCATGTCTTTCACTCTCTAGTGTATAATTTTTTGCTTAAAATCACCATGAAATCAAAACTGACAATTCTTATTTTTTATGGAATATTGGAGTATTTATTCTATATGATTTGTCTGTGCACATCATTATTTTTTAAATGAATGTACCCTTAAAATCTTTGATCAAAATAACTTCCCCTCCCTCTCTTCTCTGATGATGTGTTTACTGGCTTGAGGTGGGACAACCTGTCACTCACATGACATCACAGCAATAGCAAACCACAACCATCCAATCAATTCCCGTATCACTCAGATATGTCACAATAGGGAAGAAAAGACTAATCACAACTTCTGTTTCATGCAGACTTTATGAAATTGTGGGAGACCTTACAACACTGTTGTGGTTGGATATCATACCTGTAGCTCCTCATTGGACAGTCTGGTCTCTGGGTATTTTTTGTCCTTCAGAACCATTAGCGTTGTGGAGTTGAACCCTGCTGCGGCCTCCACCTGCACCCCATCTGTCTCATCTAGTTTAGCACCTGCAGCAATGACTGTGGTTAACATCCCGAAAACGCTGGAAAGATTAGGGCTGTCACAAAAACAGATAAGCTGTTGATCATCCAAGCTGCTACTTTTCTTCATTCCACCAAGTAATGATGAAATGAACTTGTATGAACTGGTACAATATTTAGAAATAGCTCTGCGACACCATCTGGTGGCAGCAGAGTCAAAGCAACACAGTAAATAACATGATGTCACAGTTAACTTGGGGATCTTTCATAAATTGCTGGTATCTAGAATATTTGCTTTAAAGAGGACCTATTTTTATTTGACATTTTCTACTTTCTTTAGTGTGTAATGTTTGAGCATGAAACATGTCTGCAAAGTTACAAAGCACAAAGTCTACTCCATAGGGAGTTATTCTCTATATCTGTGAGCACTGTTTCTGAACTTCCTGAAACGCCTCCATTGTAGTCTTGAGTTTTCTTCCAAGAACATACACATCACAATATTCCTCATTTAAATAATTTCCACCCAAGGCATACATAAAAAAGGAGGTGAGGCCAGGAAGAGTTGCATTAGTAGTGTGTTGAAACTTGCGTTATGGTAAGGAGTGTGACATTTCTGAAACACGCGTCCATTGAAGCAGTCGACCATTCAGAGCACATGCACTTTTCGGAAGGAGGGGCTTCAAAGAGACAGGAACTAAACAGAGCGTTGCTGACAGACTGGGAAGAGAGGTGCTGCAACAATAGCCGAACAGTAAGGAACGGTTCCTGTTATATTTCCCCTTTGAGCTTTGTTCAGCGTGGCACTATTACAAGCCGTTCTTTCCCGGAAAATTCCCGGAATTTTCAGCGCGGTTGGCTAACCATGCTGAACCGTGCTGGTAAAATGCGTGTAGTGACGTTGTCACTCAGGATCGGTCACTTGCCTTTTGCCTGGCAGCCAGTTTCTCTGTAGCTGTCCAAGTGTGCTATTTGAGTGAAGTTACCACAAGTTTATAATAAAATTAAAAGAAATATCATCCTCCATAACGTGGTCGCTATTTACATCTTATACCGTCTGTAAACTCTTGCATTACCAAGGCAAAGACTGACGCATTTATATTACAATCCAAAGAGCGGCCGTTATCAGCCCCACAGTGCAAAATGAAACCACATCCGTAGCGGCTGGGCCGGATCAGCACGGAATGGAACGGTTACGCAATGAGAACGGTTTGGCCCGACGGTTTCAAAGCCGCTAATGTAAAATATGTGAAAAATAATATTTTTGACCATTTAAGCATGAAAACCTATTCTAGTAGACCCCAACAACAAAATATGATGATCATAATATGGCATCTTTGAACATAATCCTACTTTCTTCTTGTGGGTCCAAGGCGCCTTCTCGCTCCATGGCTTTCAAATAGAGCCTCAGTAACTCTTTGGACTGTCTCTCTTCTTCCCTGCGGTCCAGCATTCTCTGCAACGTGTCCTGTAGGACCTGGGTTTTCTGCTGTGAGAAGTTCAACCCCACAGCCAGATCTGAGCATGGCACCTCAATCAAAATCTGTAACACATTTTATACAATTATTCTCAGAAAACCACAGTAAAACATTGGCTATTTACACAATATAACCATACATGTAAAGGATAGAGGTCTTTATGTGGCAAAGTAAAAAGCCAAAATCAAGCAGACCTGTAAATTTGCCTCGGACATAAGGATAATACTGGCCAAGTCCTGTCTGAGCTGCTCTGCCAAACTGCGCCAAGATTCAAACCCATCAACATCGTCCTTTCCATCTATCTCCAGATTAGCAGACTCTCTGCAAGGCTGTGCTGTGCCTCCATCATCTAGACAAATCATAATCAGTTTAGATTAGTAATGATGAGCTGGACAAATAGTAATAAAAATATCCTGGAATAGGCTATATCTCACTTTGACGAGTATGCATCCATATTTCATCGGCATGCAACAGCATGAATTTTGTATTTGCTGGCAGACACAGAAAGTAAGCTTCGTCTTCCACGATGGTCCCATCTTCTTCTAGCACCACTGACACTGATGCACTGGGACTAAACCCTAGAGCCTCACCCCCTGTGAGAGATGAAGAGAATGTGTCAAATGAAAAATTGAGCACAGGATGAATGAACTGTTAATCTTAAGAAATTAGTAATGGCGTACTTTGTTTGATTGCTTGCTTGCTTTTTAAAGCCATGCCAGCTTCAAGTTCTTTGGCTATTTTCATGGTGCATAATAAATTGGGTTATTTAATATATATATATATATATATATATATATATATATATATATATATATAAACATTTTAAACTTCAGGTTAACTTGATTAAAAACACTGTCAAGGGTATAAACTGAATAAAACAGTAGAAATATTACAATAATACCAATAAAAAAATCATAGAAATTAACAGATAATGAGCTATATTAGGAAATGATGTACAAATGGGCTTATTGGATTTAAAAAAACATGCTGTCACAAATGCCTTCACACCTCTTTAACATATTTAGAGGTGATGCAAAATACTTGGAGAGAAAATGCCAATCAAAGAATGTATGTAATGTAACATTGAGTAATAATGTTACATTACATACATTCTTTAATTGGCATTTTGACTGAACTATTAACAAGACAGCATGTCATAGCACCTGTTTCGGTTTCAGTTGTGCTAGATGAATGAATTCTCTCTTCAACAATTCTGAATCGATTCCGAAAACCTAGATTTTTAAAATGTATTTATATTTAAACAAATTATTATATTTATTCATATATACAGTTGAAACTCAATTTTTTTTTAATATTGTGCAAAAGTTAATTTATTTCAGTAATTCGACTTAAAAGGTGAAACTAATATATTATATAGACTCATTACATGCAAAGTGAGATATTTCAAGCCTTTATTTGTTATAATTTTGATGATTATGGCTAACAGCTTATGAAAACCCCCAAATCAAAATCTCAGAAAATTAGAATATTGTGAAAAGGTTCAGTATTGTAGGCTCAAAGTGTCACACTCTAATCACCTAATTAACAAAACAAAAAAAACCTGGAAAGGGTTCCTGAGCCTTTAAATGGTCTCTCAGTCTGGTTCAGTAGAATTCACAATCATGGGGAAGACTGCTGACCTGACAGTTGTGCAGAAAACCATCATTGACACCCTCCACAAGGAGGGAAAGCCTCAAAAGGTAATTGCAAAAGAAGTTGGATGTTCTCAAAGTGCTGTATCAAAGCACATTAATAGAAAGTTAAGTGGAAGGAAAAAGTGTGGAAGAAAAAGGTGCACAAGCAGCAGGGATGACCGCAGCCTGGAGAGGACTGTCAGGAAAAGGCCATTCAAATGTGTGCGGGAGCTTCACAAGGAGTGGACTGAGGCTGGAGTTACTGCATCAAGAGCCACCACACACAGACGGATCCTGGACATGGGCTTCAAATGTCGTATTTCTCTTGTCAAGCCGTTCCTGAACAACAAACAACGTCAGAAGCGTCTCACCTGGGCTAAAGAAAAAAAGAACTGGTCTGTTGCTCAGTGGTCCAAAGTCCTCTTTTCTGATGAGAGCAAATTTTGCATCTCATTTGGAAACCAAGGTCCCAGAGTCTGGAGGAAGAATGGAGAGGCACACAATCCAAGATGCTTGAAGTCCAGTGTGAAGTTTCCACAGTCTGTGTTGGTTTGGGGAGCCATGTCATCGGCTGGTGTTGGTCCACTGTGCTTTATTAAGTCCAGAGTCAACGCAGCCGTCTACCAGGACATTTTAGAGCACTTCATGCTTCCTTCAGCAGACAAGCTTTATGGAGATGCTGACTTCATTTTCCAGCAGGACTTGGCACCTGCCCACACTGCCAAAAGTACCAAAACCTGGTTCAATGACCATGGGATTACTGTGCTTGATTGGCCAGCAAAGTCACCTGACCTGAACCCCATAGAGAATCTTTGGAGCATTACCAAGAGAGAGATGAGAGACATGAGACAATGCAGAAAAGCTGAAGGCTGCTATTGAAGCATCCTGGTCTTCATAACACCTCAGCAGTGCCACAGGCTGATGGCATCCATGCCCCGCCGCATTGAGGCAGTAATTCATGCAAAAGGGGCCAAAACCAAGCACTGAGTAGTACATATGCATGATTATACTTTTCAGAGGGCCGACATTTCTGCATTTAAAATCCTTTATTTTTTATCGATTTCATGTAATATTCTAATTTTCTGAGATTTTGAATTTGGGTTTTTCATAAGCTGTAAGCCATAATCATCAAAATTATAACAAATAAAGGCTTGAAATATCTCACTTTGCATATAATGAGTCTATATAATAATATATTTCACCCTTTAAGTTGAATTACTGAATTTTTTTTTACTTTTGCACAATATTCAAATTGTTCAAGTTTCACCTGTTTATGTTTAAGTTAGATCATTATTATTTTTTCTTATTAATACTTTAATCCATTAATTAAACATCACTCTTATGTGTCTATATTGATCTTTATGTTCTAAAATTAGGCTATTTTAAACTTTTCTTAACTATTATGCCTGTAAACACTTGTAAAATAAGCAAAAACGTGCTATATAAATCAATTTGCCTAAATTAAAAGTGTTTATAATCCTGTTTATTTCTGCATGTATGCTACGTTTCTAACGGCGTAGGTTACTTAAAAGAAGGCATATAAACTTCTAACGTTACCTGAATTCAGGGTGAAGCGAACTCAATCATTTTCAAACCCACCTTTTAATTTGAGTTGATCCAGAGAGGTCACAGCCAGCCCATAACACTTCTGTCGGCTATTGTTACACACTTTACATACTTTTAATTCTGTCATGATGACAGTCAAAGTTCAGAGTTCATAACGTAGTATCTTCAGTGCCTCACACTTTGTTCTTGGGTGATATTTTTGAGTCTGAATACTCATAAATCCCGTAACACCTAATATTCTCACCATCTGTTTGACATATTTCTGCTTCCGTGTTTTGAAATGTGCTGATCGAATAGTAATGTGAACGAATCGTTCTTTTGATTAGAATCTTTTTAATGAGTCAATTGAACCGATTTCCAAAATCGGACTGAACTCTTACCGTAGTTAGTAAAATAATCATCACTTTGAACTGGTTCTTTAAAACGAACTGTTCAAAAGAACTGACCAGTGAGACTCGAACTTCGTATCACTAGTTCAGACCAGAGCCATTGAGAGAAGAATGGCATTGGTTCAGACTAAAGCAATGGAGCACAGTTGAACCGTTAGCTTCGTTAGCTTCCTGGCTAGTAGCTCTGAGAAGATGGCATCCTCGGACCAACCTGACCAGCAAAATCAGGTAGTTGATAAAATTTCGCCAGTTAGCAACTTGTATTTTGCTTGTTAGGCCGTGGACCTGCATAGTAAACGCACAATTTGTCACGTTTTAATTATTGATATACTCATAATCTAGCTGTCCCATGTTGTTTAGGAAAAAGTTTTAGCTGGTTTGCTAGCGTCCTGCTCACTGTCATCCCATGCAGTTAGACAGATGTGTGTGACAGGTGCAGGCCACAGAGAATAGTGCATTCAGGAGATTTCACGGCAGATCTTAGTGTCTGGATCTGTTAAAATTAAGCACCTTGGGGACAGTTATCACCTATTATTTGTTATGTTCAGTCAGGGGTCATTGACCCTGAAAACAAGACACGGGTCACATCAGGGGCGTAACCATCATTTCACCATACCATTTTTTTAAAACCAGTAATTGACAGCTTTTATTTCTTGCTTTTAATTGGCTGAGAAATCAAATGCAATGCTGAACAATAACTTAGCCTATTATTTGTATTCTAAAATATTTTCCCTATGTTTTCCTAATGCCAATTTTATGATTGGTTTATGTATTACACACAAGTGTGCATTAAGTCATCATGGATTTTACACAATGTAAAAAAAGTTTTTTTTTTTTTTTATCACAGAATAAGGCAGAACATACTTTCTATACTGTAATAAAGGCTATGGCAATTAGCACTGCATTATTATTGTTTTGAACATTTCCCGAGATGGCTTTAAAAAACACATATAAACTATATATTGTCGTAATCATGTGTTTATTGTCTTCACGTTTCATCTGTCAAAATGTTTCTGCTTTTTATTCAGCTACAGCGATAGCTGGATGCCCTTGTCTATATAAGGATTTCCTGGATTGTCATAAGTTATTACTTCTGGAATTTCTGTAAGAGAGCGCGCTCTGGCTTCCAATGTGAATGAAACTTGCATTACATGAGTGTTAACACTTCATAATGCTTGGTTACATTGCCTGGTTTTGGATAAGAAGGTCTCGCATAGAATATTATCTCTTTGAATTTGAATCTAGATTTATTCACATTGTCACATGAAAACTTGAAAAAAAAAAGTGTGGGGGACGAATTGACATGCATCCCTCCTAGTGCTCATATGGCCTAGTCTCAGAAAAGTTCTGTGTTTACTGCTAAAGTAAAAACTTTATTTATGCAATGTTTCAGCAACCAATTAAATTGATTGTTTACCCAAAAATGAACAGTCTGTCATCATTTACCCCCCTAGATGTGCCAGACCTGAATGTAAAAGAAAGGTATATGAGAGAGATCGTATCTTAACAGATTCAGGGGTGATGCAATATAATTGGAGGAGAGTCAATAATTGGAAAAACATTAAAGAATGTATAAACATAAGTTTTAGATATAGTATAATTTATAATAAAGTCAGAGTTTATTTTTTTAAATATATATTGGATATTATTCTTTCAATATCTTATTACTTTAACCCATTCATAAAATTGTATTACTTACATTTTTTCTTTACTCATCTTTATGTCCTAAAATGATTTTAAATGTGAGTCTTATATAAATTATGTCAAATATGTAAAGTATTAATTATAAACTTTAAAATGTGCTATATAAATCAGCAACAAATTAAAGGCATACCTCACCCAAAAATGAACAGTCTGTCATTATTTACAAACCTTCATGTTGTTCCAAACCTGTATGAATTTCTTCACTAGGACACAAAACGAGATGTTAGGCAGAATGACATCCACCATTAATTTCTATTGCATGTTTCCATGATTATTTTTTTAAATGATGGCAGACTCTTCATTTTTTGGGGGGAAGTATCCCTTTAACTAAATGCTGTTGTAATGCATTTAATGTCTCAGATTTAAGAATAGGATATGAATCTTGGTTGATTATTCTTATGCATTTTTCTCTATTAAATACAATGAAACATAAGTTTGTCAATAAATAATTGCATATAAATATAGGTGAATTTTATGACTGTTTACTTATTTTGAATTAATTTATTGTGAGTAATACAGGATGCCGTCGCCAAGCCTGTATTCTTTTGAATAATGACGGTTGCTGAGTGAGTTTTGCTCAGTGTGTTAACCCTCTTGGTCTCTGTTGGTGCAGTTTATGATTCTTAACATACTAAATCTATTGCCAGCTTTAGAATATTTGAAGTGTTGCCGTTTGTTGGGACAGTGTGAACCAGCCTGAATAAGAAGTGTATGTGCTAATATTTGTCTGTTTTTGGGAGTATTGAAATGCCTTTAGTACAATCAGGTTTTGGAGGGTCTGCAGCTCTCAGTCTACTACATACAGACAGAGTAGCCTTGTAAGCCTACCATAGGTTAAATATTTATGCAGGTAAAATATAGTGATGTACACTTTTGTGGTCAGTAAGGTGTTTTTGTTTGTTTGAAAGAATGCATTTTATTTAAAAAGAATGCATTAAAGCGAGGGTGTGCAGTTAGTAGCAATAATGAGCTAGCTTTGAAAGCATAAGATCCCACCCTCCCTTCAGAGCGTCTCCAAAGCCACTCCTCCTCCAAACATGAACGCACATCACCAGACTTGAGCAGAGTCTGCAAAGCGTCACGAGAGACGGCGTTAAATTCCCTCATGTCTCAAAGCACAAAACATTACAATAATAACGAATGCAAACAACTTAGAGAGCTCCGACTTGTACTAAAGTCCCTTTCAAATAAAGTCTGTTCACTCGGTGGCCGTATTTGCTACGCCTCCGGGCAGCCATTTTGGGCATCCAAGACCAAGTTCTGTCTACCTGAATGGGGGAATCCTGAAATCTCAAAAACATCCTGCAGAACACAATTTAATAACATATTTCAAATCAGCAACAAAATCTGACATGGACTGCCCCATAAATGTTGTTTATTATGCTCAAATAGCGTTTAAAAAGCGTATTTTTCATACTAGATCCGCCAATGCAGTCCTAAGTGCACGTTCAGAACACTGACTGTTTCTGTAGCAACCGGAGCTGCAGTGATGCGACAACTTTATCAATCAGCGATTGGCTCTTATATTTAGAAGGTGGGACTTAATCTGCCATATTCCATGTTGCACTTTCTCCCATTCATAAGTATTATGAGTCCACCAGCTTTGTATATCTAAAGTCATTGTACCGCCTGACTGCTGCAGATTGCATTGATAGTGTTGACAGAAATTGCCATAGAGTGTGAGGATGTGAACAGCTCTGAGTAGAATGTCAGGGGTGCCATCTTGTAATTACAACATGACGTGAACGCAGCATCTTCTTTCAAAAACATTAATACTCTTACTGACCCCAAAATTTCGAACGGTAGTGTTAAAACTGTTACTATTATGTCCTTGAGCCTAATATACCTAACCCAAAATTGCTTTAGGGAGACTAATACGTTTACAATATGTCAATTTTGCTTTAAAGAGTCAACTGAATGGCTAATTAATTGTTAAATTAAATATCCTAATTTGAACTTTGCAGGCTTACTTAGTGCTCTAAAGTGGATTTAACCAATGGTATCATCCACTGATCAGAAATAAAACTGTGATGCCTACAAAGAGAGTACCAGGCCTGGCTCTATTGCAGATGTTGATAAAGGCAGCAGTGTTAATGGCATCTAATGGCAATCAGTAATGCAGTAAACTCTATAGTCTGTCAAGAACTGAATGGCAATATATAGACATTAGGGTTAGTGAAACTTGAGTTTCACCTCTTGCAGGCTAACAGAGAGAGGCATCATTGAGTTTTAATGGGTGAAGGGACATCTTAAGGGCAATATACCACATTATTCTTCTCAGATTTATGATTGGTAGATCCTATCTGTATCCTATAATTTCTGCCCTTTTCCTCACCCTTTATTTTTTTATTCTTTTGAAAGAAGTCTCTTTTGCTAACCAAGGCTGCATTTATTTGATTTAAAAAAAAATTATAAAATTTAAATATTTTAAAAATGTTATTTATTCCTGTGCTGGTAAAGCTGGGTCCTTCCGTGTCAACTCAACCAGAGGTCCCCGACAACATTTTTGGATTTTGATCATATTTTTTCTGGTGAAAGAAATACATAAATGAAGAAGAAAGCTAAATATTAAATGTTATGGATGCATATTTACTGAGTAATCCACTATTTTGTAGAGGGGGTGACCATTTTTGGACCATTGACAAATGACCATTTTTACCTGAGATTTGGAGCTGAAATTACAGTGGGCTAAAAATGACTAGAAAGATGGCAGCATTATTTTATTTTTACACAGAAATTTTTTGGTCTAGTTGAATCTCTTCACTTTAGCAATCTTTGTTGCATTATATGCCAACGGAGACAGTTCAAAAATGGTTGTGTTTTTTGCCTCAAGTTAAGATCCCTTAAATATCCTTTTAGATTCTGGTTCCTAATAAACTTTTCTTTTGGTACATCTTCATTTTAAAGGCCCCATATGGTACAATCCCAGAGATATGGAGATCTTAATGCGGCTCCATGAGTAAATTGGTCAATTGAACACGTTGTCAGTGGTCATATTTTTTTATGGAAATCACGATAGATATATTTTTTTCAGGATTTTTTTTTTGATGAATAGAAATTTCAAAAGAACAGCAATTATTTGAAGTAGACGTCTTTTGTAACATTATGTATGTTACTGTCACTTTTGATCAATTTAATGCTGAATAAATGTAATATTTTCTTCTTTTTAAATACGCAAAATCTTACTGACCCTAAACTTTTGAACATTACTGTACATTTCTGGTGAGGGATTATTCATGATTATAGTGTTACCATTTAAAGGCCAGGTGTGGAGTCAAGAACTGTGCTGTACTGTACTAGAATCACATGTAGTTATAAACTCTCCCACTAGGTGGCGCTGTAACACAAGACTTGTTTCTTTCAGAATGCTGCTCCAGCCAGAGAAGACACGGCTCCAAGAGAAGCGCTGGTAAGTTTCACAAGTCTGCGTACCTCCACTCATTATTCTCTACATAGAGTTTTGTTGAAAGAATTTTTTTTTTATAGAATTGTTTTACATTACCATTAGTATTATTACCAAATACCTAGAATACAATAGGACAAAAAACAGAAATGTTTGAAGTATTGAAATATTTGAAGACTTCTACTTCATTTTGAACTTCTTTTTTAACTTATATTCACCAAAGAAATATATAAAATGTATCACAGCAGCACAACTGTTTTTAACATTGATCATAATAATAAATGTTTCTTTAAAAAAAACGTAGCGACCCCAAATGTTTGAACGGTAATGTATGATCATGATTTTTCTTTGATAAAATGTCATTCTCAGCATGTCAAAGATGTCATTGACTGTAATCAGTGTTGGAGGGTTACTTCAGATTACTTTGAGTAACTGTTAACGCAGTACTTTAAAAACTAAAGATCTGATTTACTTTTTCAAATAAGTGCATTTTGTTTTCCCATTTATTGACCCCATTGTCTCTTGTCCCCATGTTGAGAGAAATCGTGAGTAAGTTGCTGCTGACCTTCAATGATCCAATTCAACCGTACTAATAAGCAAAAATGACTTTAGATAAACATCACATTTGTGTTTCATTTTGTTTTGTTTTTATTGCTAAAGTAAGTGTGTGGAACTTCTCCTGTATCCTATTCTTCTGCAATCCAGCAGCTGTCACTTTTGATGTCAAAGGGCCTTTACATAAGCCACAAATGTATTTAAATACGAACAAGAAAGCCCAGCACAGGCGAGAAAAAGTAACGTCAAAGTAACTTAACGCATTCATTTCATTAAAAGTAACTATCACAATTAGTTTCTTTTTGGGGGAGTAATACAATATTGTAATGCATTGCTTTTAAAAGTAACCTTCCCCGAAACATTTGACCATTAATTCGTAGATGACTTACTAGTAGGTGGTTTTGTGAATGTGAGTAATCCTCACCAATCCCCATAGTGTGGTTCTCAGCAGCGGAACTGCTCTCTTTCTTTCTCTTAAACTAGGAAGTTCTTGGATTATCTATGGCACATTTACTATCATTGGACAATTAGGCTGTGTATTGTTCGGTTTTGTGTGATGTGATTTTCTGCTATGAATGATATCTAGCCATGCTCAAAGCACTGTCCTTAACAGCGGGGAAAAGTGCCGATTATTAAGGCTTCTTGGCTTTCTAACTGCTTGACAAGTCCCCCTTTTTTTCCTCTGCTTTTCTCTTTTTGATGAGCTGCTCTTTCCCAGTTAAGTGGATTATTACAGCTCTGGATAATTCATGTCACAAGGCATTATTTGGATGGGGTGAATAATTGAAATCTGTGTCTGAAAGGATTTGATGTGGATGAGCGGAAGGGGAGTAGTGGCAGGGCTGGAGGGAGGCTCTGGGCGCGAGTGCCGGGGTGTCAGGCTGGGGACACCAGTCATGTTAACAGGTTCTGACTCACCTCGCCGGATGGGCGGCCCTCGCTCCTCGGTGGCAGGCAACTCTGGCTGGAGTCTGAGCCAGAACAGGTTTGGACCTGCGCTGTCACTCAAACCCAGTACCAGTCGCGCTCAGGGTTGAGCTCTTGCCTCCAGGGCTTGTGCTTCCTGGCCTGTCCCGCTACCACACACTACACGCACTGCGCAGTACTTCATTTCATCTTCTTTATAACCACCCACTCACTTTTCTTTCCTTTCTTCTCATTTCCTTTCATTTCTGTTCTTTTTCTTTTCCTTTTTGGGCCTTTCCCTTTTTTCCATTTTCACTTTTTTATCTATTTACTCATATTTCTGTTCCTTTCCTTTGTGTTCTTTTCTTTACATTTTTACTTTCATTTACTTGTCCCTTTAAATTTCCCTTTTTTCCCTTTCAGTGTCATTTCCTAGTCTTTCCCTTTTTAATTTCCTTGCCCTTTACCCTTGTGTCCCTTTACATCCCTTTTACACTTTAATTTCCTTCTGCCTTTTCTTATCCTTTTTACGTTTACATTTGCCATTTATCTCTTTTTCCTTTTCTTTAAAGTCTGCTCTTTCCCTTTTCCTTTTTTCTTTTCTTTTTTCCCTTTTGATTTCTCTTTCTATTTCTCTTTTTTCCCTTAACATTTCCCCTTCCTCTCCTTTTCCTTTTTTTTAATCTCTGTTTTTTGCCTTTTCCATTTTTTTCCTTTCCTCTACATTTTCCTCTTACTTTTCTCTAATTTTCTTTACTTTCTTTTCCTTTCTTTTGTTTCCCCCTTTCCATTCCACACACCTTTTCCCTGTCATTTCCTTCTTTTCTTTTTCTCCTTTCTCTTCTCCTCTTTCTTTTCATGTTCCCTTTCCTTTGTCTTTTCCTCCATTCTCTGTCTTCAGTCTATACCTGAAAGTATAGGCAAATCAGCCTTTGCATTTATTACATCATAGAATGCCTATAAATTCCCAACTGAATAACATATCTGAATTTTAATGTAGCAGTTAAAGATTTAACCATATTCCTGATTGGTGGAGTTAAATATCACCTCAGGCTGTCAGAGAACCAGTGCTGTTTGACTCACAGAATCCATGTTTGTCAGCTCTCTTGTTTGCCTTTTAGTCTTTTGTGGTTGGCTTTCTGCCTCAAAGGTGTGTGAAAGGTTAAATATCTTTCCCTCCAGTGGTGTTTTGCGGTACCCTTCTGCGATCTACCGCCTGTGACTGTAACGCTCAGCGTGTTGGCATGGTAACTGCCGGCTCCATGGGATGCTCTCCCATCCCTTCTCTGCCCGCTGGGGCTCCACTGTGCGCCCCAAATATCACTGGCCTCCTGTGGAAAGAGCGAGGGATGCAGGAGCAGAGGGAGGAGGTGAAAGGAGGGGGGAGGGGAAAAAAAGGAAAGTTGTTAGAAGAACATCCCGGTCTCGCCGCAACTTCAAAAGCTCCCCTTCCCCAGGATATTAAGCAACTGTGATGAAAAATTTAGCAAGCGTTAAATAAGGCGCTTTGAAGTGATCTGTTTTGGCTCGGCAGTCTCTGAATTTCCGGAGCCCCTCTGCTGTCACAACCATGCTGGAAAAAAGAGACAGCATACCCAAAGCTGAGGAATTGGGGTCTGCCTGACGAGATGCCAATGTTCACATTATAGCCTGTGGCAATGACCATTGCGTTGACTTGGCGCTCTGTCTTAATTATACCATTATTTTCTTTATATCAATACACCTTGCTTGCCCTCTAGGCATGGAGACATCTGTTGCTCAAATGTTGGTTTTGAGAATGAGCTTCCACCTCGCAGGGATCCGTGTAAAAGAACCAATAGCAGAAAGTATCAGTGACCTATCAGGAGCATTCATTTATATTCATGGTCCATGGTCCGCTGTTTACATTTTGGGACAGCATTTCACTTTTGTTTCAATTCTGCAGTTCCTGATTATGAAACTTGAAAGTTAATTATTGAGGGAATGAGGGGTGGTTAGCCAGTAATAACCCAAAAGACTTACTCTGTGCTCACTTTCAAACTGTGCTGCAATTTAATTTGCCTGGGGATCCATCCTTGGACTTTTCTCTTTTTTCCTCCCCTTTGCTCATTACTTTAATTGTAATTGTAATCCTTTATTGGAGCTGTCTGCAGTAAAGGAGAGTTATGGTTGGCATGGGGGCACAGGCCACGGAGATATTTCATGATTGTTGGGGATGATGGTCACTAGGTGCCGATGAGCGGGCCAATGAGGGGTCTCTCTTTCCTGAGAGATTGCCTTGAGGATCTGGCTGGGTTGATTGAAGCAGCACACATTGGTAGAACATATTTTCCAGAGTGGCCAAAGCGGCATTTATTATTTGAATTTCATAATAAAATTTACAGAGTTTGAAAGCCTAGACTGTTTCATATCAAAAGTAGTTAAGGCACCTTTATTTATGAAGTGCTTTATATGATAGAGATTGTTTCAAAGCAGCTTCACAGGGATAAACTGAAAATTTTTATGTTTTATTTTTTTTCTAACGACAAATGATCGCGATGATCACGTTTACAAGCCAGCATCATTATAGTAGCCTAGTCTATTGGTTACCGTTTTACTGAATCTATATGATACTTCAATGCAATGTTTGAGTGGTTGATAATAACCATATATCGTCAATATTATAATATCAAGCTACCATAAATTAATCTGCAAATTTTACAGATCGATTTGCATTATAGCTTGAGGCAAGACAAATAAACAAATATCACAGAAATGTTAGGTATCCTAAAATATGATTTTGTACATCTTATATATTTACTTGCAAGAATGTAGCCCCTACCAAACTTGTGCACGCCGTTTAGACACAGGCTTTCATTTGATTTTTTTTTTTTTTTGCCAAGTCCGCATCGGTCGGGCATCCCTCCTTCAGCTCACGCCAGCGAGAAAATGCTGGCCCAATGTTGATCCTCGTTCTGCCTTTAACGCGATCACTTTCTCTTTTTCTCTTTTTGCTTTGCTCCGATAAAACCTTTGCTTTCTTGTTTTTCTGTGCTGCTTCGGCCATGACTATAACATTTGGCTCGCACGTCCGATTTTAAGGAAGTGGGGATGGTGGTGGAAGTGACCTATATGCCGTAAAGCAGTCGAATTTTGTAGTTCTCTTTGTTCGCCGGTTACTACCCGAAACCCGAAGTTTAAAAGTACGATTAAAAACGCTACAGACCCCGTCAGGCTATGGCAGACGTGTCATTCAACCTGTTGTAAGTCGATGTACCATCACAAGAGACTTGGAAATATATTATGAAGGTTGAAAAGTAGTGCTGCTTTAAACTCATTTTTGATCACCAAAAAAATTTGTTATGCCTTAAAATAGCCTGTAACTATAAACCCTCGCTTCATTTAGTATACATGGACACATGAATATGCAAATTCACCCCGCCCCCACTCAATCACTCAAGCTCAGACAACCTGATCCACTTGGTCAACTTTACTGTAGTGAATACTGCACTATCGCAAATGGAAATACTTGTGTAATTCAGCCATATACATTTGAACCAGAAACTGATTCAGAAGAAGTGGAAGAG